CTTCTTCCACTATGCCTTGCATTCCCAGATAACAAAATGGGAAAATGATTCGAATACAACCTCCCCAATCTCCTTTGCGTGACCTCTGGGTACTTAGCCTCCCACTCTCCACAAATCAAAAACCGATCTATTCGGGATAGGACGGATTGGTCTCGATTGGATGACCAAATAAATTCTCCCCCAAAGCATGCTTGTGATAATTGCCTCCACTTTGTTGTTATGGTTGCCAAATTGATTATCTGTGTATCTGCAGCTTATCTGATAATGAACCGAATGGAGTAGCAAAAAAGGATTCATGTAGCTGGGCTCAAATTTCTTGGATACTAGGCTTAGATTGTTATTGTTGTTATCTATCTGGCTGTTTATTTATTAAGCTTTGGCATGCAAGTTTACAAAGAATATATACCATCCCCCTATTGGATAAAATCTAACCAATCATCAACATAAGGCAGTATTTATGAGCTGCATTGAACTCTCTTCAGCAACTAACCTGCATTAAGCAATGTGGGTCTATGTTCTAGCTTTCTATACACTTACGGCTACATAGGCATAACCCAATAAACTGCATAATAATGAAGAAGCGAATAATGATTCAAAGGCCACTGTGCAATGCAGAAACAAGTTCTTCCTACTTTCCTAACACTTTAAATACCAGCCAACGCAGATTTTCTCCTCAAATTAGCTGTAAAATCAGTCATTATTGCCGCAGTCCTGGAAATATGCAACTTTTTGAGACTTTACTCCACCGGATCGCTTTCCACGTTAAAGACAATCTTTCTTGAAAAGCAAATACGGAAGAGCCGGAGAGAAAGTATAAGTAATTTAACTGAGGCTACAGTGTCAATAAGATTCCCTGTATCTTGGTGTTTATGACATTTAGCGTTAAGGACTTTTTCCACCACATTCTTTAGGTCTCATTTTATATTTTGTTAATTGCATACTTTTTCCTTTTCAGACCAGTAGGAAGGTGTGCATGTTCTTTTATATATTTCTATCAATGTGGGAGCATTTTGTATCTTCTCTCTGTTTTTCTTAATCCCACAAGGTTTTATGTTTTACTGGGTTTTGATTATGGTTAAAGCTTATCTAAAACTTCTATCATTAGTTATGCCTTAACATTAAGTCGATTTTGCTCGCATACATGCTTGTGCAAGCTGTTGACCTCGTTCTATAAATTAATCTCCATTTTTGTGTTCTAGGTTAGATATATCTTTCCTTGCAAGTATGTGTTAGGTATATCTCCTAACTAATTTTTTTTTTTTTTTCCTTTTTGCTTCTTTTACTTGACAAATTTCTTTGGTGCAGGTCAAAGCAAATGCTGTTAGAGCTCTGGGGAATCTTGCACGATTTGTTCAATTTACAAACCAACCAACTGCACATAGAGAGCCCATTGATTGCATGACCTCAACACTAATAGATGATGGCCAAAATTTGTCCAAGGATGATCTGAACGAAAGGTCAGATTCATTCCAGTCAGCATATTCGGGGAATTTCCATTGGCTTGGAAAGATGGTGCAGGCATTTCTTTCTTGTGTGACAACCGGAAATGTCAAGGTTTTCTGGTCTCCTCATCTCCCTTTCCCAGCTTAAAGACTAGGATAAGAAGCTGAAACTTTACATTTTTTATAATAAGTTGGAGTTAATATATATTAAACTTTTAACGGGATTATATCACATTTTCTTATTTGGGCTTTGCTAACAGGTTCAGTGGAACGTCTGTCACGCATTGAGCAATTTATTTTCCAATAAGACTTTGAAACTGCAAGACATGGATTGGTAAGGATTCTGTTTCTTGTCTTTCACTTACTAAATTTGTTTCTTTTTCTGGGAAAAAGATTGGAGCAACAGCTGGAAACTTATCAATGTGCTCCTATGAAATGCTGGAATTTTAACTTTGAGAAAGAAGAAATATGACACGATTTTACTGATAGAAGAAAAGATATACATTTGGGAGGACATGGTGTCTTCAGTTACACCAGTCTGAAGCAAAAGAAATCTATCAAGCTTTTCTCTATGTAGCTGTGCTGACCTCTAAAACAGCCTGTTGCCTTGACATGATAAGACATTATTGGTTCTACAACAGAGCCAGAAATGGTCTTGTTCTCCGAGGACGAATGTCCATTTAAAATCCTTCACTATGGTAGGGACTTCATACAGATGAAATAATTCAAAAGAAAAGGTATAGGAGCTTGAAAACTGACAAGACTGAAGAAGAATACATGCATGAATACATACCAGCTATCAAGATTCCAGACTATGGAGAATGTATATCTATTTTCTTATACTGTCATGGGTTTTTTACAACCATAATCTAAAATCTGTCATAATTACCAGCAAAACAGATCCCAAAATTCTGTGCTGAAGACTAGGAAGACTTCCTAAAATGCATCAGTTAAATCAGCAAATAATTAAACAATTTTGCCTTTGTATTTAAAGGAATTCCTTTTAAACTCGTCAACACGGACCTTCTGATCAGGAGTATATGCAATCTAACTGATGTCTTGTCTTGGTTTCATTTATTGGATTATATCTGCAAAAGTCACTTTCATATATTTGCTTCTCGGTTTTAGTTTTGAGGCATGTATTCTTTTCTCTGATATGCTATTGTTTCTCTTAAATTAGTTATATATAGTTTCAGATATGTTCTCTCAAATTATGCAGGGCTCCTTCTGTTTTTAGTATCCTCTTGCTGCTGCTTCGTGATTCTTCTAATTTCAAGATCCGGATACAAGCTGCTGCTGCTCTGGCTGTTCCAGAAAGTATAAATGGTGAATAACTGAATAATAGTCGTACTTTCATGACTATCATGGCTAAATGCTAATATTTCGTTTTGGTTGTCTCAGTGCAACAATTGTTGAACCGTGTTACTAAACTCCTTTCTTTGCCTATATAGCTTGCCTCCATTCATGACTTCCCCCTACTTTCTAACTACGTTCTTACTTTTCTTGTGAATATATTTGTTTCATTGAGCACTTGTTTGAGCCACATTATTTTTTCAATTCTCATTCTTCTACTCATTTTTAACAACACATTCTTTAATAAAATAATATTTTCCATCACATCAATAACTTTTCCTTCTCTTTCGACCACATATTCCCCATCACATCACTTAAAAAAAATGCACTCTCTCATTTTAATATGCACCAAACACACTCTGAAATAATCATTTTGGTATGCAAAAGATATATGATCTATGGCTTCTTCAGGATCTTATCACGGAGAAATATGGCTCATCTAATGCATGTCTTATTATAAATGAGGTTTTTGCACTGGTGGAAGTCCGGTATGCTTGTAGGACTAATTTTGTGGAGAAGATTTTAAGAAAAAACTTAAATCAACTTTCCAACAATAAAAACTAAAACTTTCTAATTATACAAAGATGTTCGTTGATTCTTGCACCTGAACTGGTTTAGAAAAATATGCCATGACAACGTTATATTAAGGATTTATGTGAAGCCAATATATCGGGTAG